GAAGTCATAGATAATACATAAAGGAATGGGTATGGTTGCGTTTAATAAAGCTTTATTTACAAAAACAGGCAATGGGCCAGATTTGCTCACAAGACATGACTTGCCAACCTCTGGACTATTTAATAAATGATGAATATTAATTAGGAACCCTGGTGGCACAGTGGTTAAGAGATCAGCTGCTAACTAACCAAAAGATCAGCAGTTCTTTGGAAACCCTATGGGCAGTTCTTCTCTGTTCTATAGGGGTCGCTACGAGTCAGAACCGACTCGATGGCAACGGGTTTGGTTTTTTTTGTTGTTGTTATTAATTGTTTATAAATTTGGAAAAAGACAAAATGAAGTTCTTTTTTTTTTCACACTACACACAGAAATCCAGGTAGATTCAAGACCAAAATGTGGATAGAAATACTTCTAACATTGTTAGAAAAAAGTATAGGAAAATTATTTCCTAACAAGACCAAAAGCTCAAACATAAATGTTTTAATGTTTCAAAAATGTTTCATCATGTTTCATACTATCCTTGAGGTCTTTTGGAGTTTTGCCAGAAGGAAAAAGTATAAAGGTCAATTAATTTGCTTGGTCTATACAGTTTAATGACACTTAAGAGCTAGTGATTAGTGAGAGAAAAAGATTCTGGCCCTCAGGAAGCTTGTAATAAAACATCATTGCAAAGGAAAGCCCATGAATCAGAAAGCTACATGTAGAATGTAAAACTAACAAAAATTAAACATTGAATGTATATACAGGCTATCGTAATAATCCTTTTATCAACCATTTATTTTGTCAAATATTGTTGTTATTAGTCGCCGCTGGGTCAATTCCAACTCATGGAGACCCCATGTGTTCAGAGTAGAACTGCTCTATAAAGTTTTCAAGACTGTGACCTTTCAGAAGCAGATTGCCAGGCCTTTCTTCTGAGGCACCTTGAAAATTTTCGGCTAGTAGTCGAGCCCTATCATAAGTGATCTCATCTTCACAATGGCCCTGGAAGTTAGGTAGTTTTACCATATTTTGTATATGTAACACTTGGCAAAGTTACTCTCGCCTGACCTCAAAGAAAACAGCAGCTGTCAGGACTCCTTGGTGTGGATGTCATGGCTGCTCACTCAGTGGTGGTGGAGGGTGTGCAGCCCATCACTTACACAGCCCCCTAGTGCAGGTGACCAGAGCACTGGGCCACTTCTCCATGCTGGCAGGGCTGTCAGCCATGTGGCCACCTAGGCTACCTCCCTTCTCTTATACCTCACTGACCCATTCAAGCTCACTCCCTTTACCACGTGTGTCCCCCAGGTGACCCTTATCTGAGTCTTCTATTTTTCCATCCAGTTTATTGAGAAGACAGTCTCAATGCTTTACTTCTTCCTGCGCCTTCCCTTTTGATTCTCAGGTGTTTTTTGTTTTTTCTTTGTTTCTTTAAACAAAAGCCAGTACTTGCAAATCAAAGGCTCTGGCTTTCAGAATGATCACCTCCTATGTGAGCTTCAACAACCTATTTTGGAGATTAACAAATTACATGGGCTGCTTCTTTCGCTTTCCATTCCTGCTACCACAATCTTGAATTCTAATTTTTGTCTTGGCGATTTGGATACCGCTAACTGACTAGAGGAACCCTGGTCGTGCAGTGGTTAAGAGCTTGGCTGCTAGCCAGAAGTTCGGCAGTTCGACTCCACCAGCCGCTCCTTGGAAACCCCGTGGGGCAGTTCTACTCTGTCCTGTAGGGTTTCTGTGAGTTGGAATCGGCTCGACAGCAATGGGTTGGTTTTGGGTTCCTTTATGTATGCACTGTTCTAGGCACTGGGATATGCCAGGGAGAGAAAAAGACCCAGCTTCTGCCTGCCCTCCTGGAGTTTATGTTCTAGTGGGAGACACGGACTAAAATCTAACTAATGAAATAATTACCGTTATGAAGCATGCCTCAAAGAAGACTTACAGAGTGCAGCAAGCATATAAAATAAGTCTGGATTTTCAAGAAACAAACTCAGATCTCAAAAAGTAGGAATTAGGACGCTGTTGCTGTGTGCTGTTGAGTTGATTCTGACTCATAGTGACCCTATAGGGACAGAGTAGAACTGCACCATAGGGTTTCCTAGGCTGTAATCTTTATAGGAGCAGATCACCAGGTCTTTTCTCCTGCAGATCCTCTGGTGGGTTCGAACTGCAGACCTTTCAGTTAGTAGGCAAGTGCTTGACCATTATGCCACCAGAGCTCCTTTGATAGGATGATAGAGGAGGGCAAAGGGCACACCAATCAGAGGGAACAGCCTGGGTAAAGGCCTGAAGGCAGAGAGGGACATGCTGCATATATAGATTTGTAAACAGCCTTTTGTTTCAATTAATATATTGTGAACATTTTCTCCTGTCAGCAAATACTTTCTGTAACATCATTGTAAGTGGCTGAATAGTGTTTCTATATAATTTATTGAACCAGTTTCTTATTGCTGGACATTTAAACTGCTTCTAGTTTTTTTTTTTTCCTATATTCAACACTGTCCCAAATTACATGCTTCCCTGTGTACATATACATTTATTTCCTTAGGATAAATTCCTAGAAGGGGAACCGTTTCGTTGGAGGGAATGTAAACATTAAGATGTTTGATACATACTGCTAAAATAGGTTCCAGAAATGTACAATTCACATCCCCCTCACCAGGGCATGAGAAATCTATTTCCATATGCAAACAGCATTCTTATTATTTTTTTAAACCTTACCAGTTTTGTAATGGACAAAACCAACCAAACCAAACCCGTTGCTGTCGAGTTGATTCCAACTCATAGCGACCCTATAGGACAGAGTAGAATTGCCCCATAGGGTTTCCAAGGAGCTGCTGGTGGATTCGAACTGCCGATCTTTTGGTTGGCAGCCAAGCTCTTACCCACTGCGCCACCAGGGTTCCTGTAAAGGACGAGTGGTATATAATCATTTTGTTTTGTCTTGTGTGTCTATGTATTTCATTTCTGGCAAATATATCTTTTTACATGCTGAGCAGTTGTCTAAATTTCTTCTTTTATTAGTTGAATGCTTCTGTTCTTAGGTGGATTTTTCTAATATAGTTTTCTTGATTTGCTTTGAGAGATTTTGTCTATTGAGGATATTGATCCTTTTTCATATTTTCCCTACTTTATAGTTCACCTTTTGATTTTCTGTCTGGTGTTTTTGACATACAGAAGTACATCAAATATTTTCATATTCGTCTGCATGTACACACATACCTATTTACGCACTCATACCAATGTATCTATCATATAAATTCCTACAAATGGAATTACAGGGTCAAAGAGTAGGTATACTTAAAATGGAGATGTTGTTGTTGGGGGCCGTTGAGTCGATTCCGACTCATATGACCCTGTGTGACAGAGTAGAAATAACCTTACAGGGTTTTCTAGGCTGTAATCTTTATAGGAGCAGATCGCCAGATCTTTTCTCTCACAGTGCTACTGGATGGGTTTGAGTCACCAAACTTTGGAATAGTAGCTGAGCACTTAACCACTGCACCACCAGTCTCCTCAAAATGGTGATGGCTGCTACTAACTATATATCTCTGTTGTTGTTATTGGCATTGTTAGGTGTCATTGAGTTGGTTCGAACTCTTAGAGACCCTACGTACAACAGAATGAAACACTGCCTGGTCCTGTGCCACCCTCACAATCATTGCTATGTTTGAGCCCATTGTTGCAGCGACTGTGTGAATCCATCTTATTGAGGGTCTTCCTCTTTTTCGAAGACCCTCTACTTTACCAAGCATGATGTCCCTCTTCATGGGCTGGTCCCTCCTGATAACATGTCTGTTATGAATTGAATTGTGTCTCCCCAAAATGTGTGTCAGTTTGGCTAGTCTATGATTGCCAGTATTGTGTGATTGCCTACCATTTTGTCATCTGATGTGATTTTCCTATGTCTTATAAATCCTACCTCTATGATGTTAATGAGGTGGGATTTGTTGCAGTTATGTTAATGAGGCAGGACTTAATCTCCAAGATTAGGTTATGTCTTAAATTAATCTCTTTTGAGATATAAAAGAGAGAAGCAAGCAGAGAGACATGGGGATCTTATACCAACAAGAAACAAGAGTCAGGAGAACAGCATGTCCTTTGGACCTGCGTCCCTGCGCTGAGAAGCTCCTAGTCCAGGAGAAGATTGATGACAAGGACCTTCCTCCAGAGCAGACAGAGAGAGAAAGCCTGCTTCTGGAGCTAATGTCCTGAATTTGGACTTCTAGCCTGCTAGACCATGAGAGATTAAAATTCTGTTTGCTGAAGCCATCTACCTGTGGTATTTCTGTTATAGCAGCACTAGATAACTAAGACAGAATTTGGTACCAGAAGGGTGGGGTGCTGCTCTACCAGATACCTAAAATGTGGAAGAGGTTTTGAAATTGTGAATGGATAGAGGCTGAAAAAATTTTAAAGTGCATAATAGTAAAAGCCCAGATTATCTCAAAGAGACTGTTGGTGGAATTACAGACATCAAAGACAATTCTGGTGAGGACTTATAAGGCAATGAGGGGAGCTGGTACACCAGAGACAGAATCAGAGAACCGTTAGCAGCAGAGAAACAGCAGCAGCAGGAAAATGGCAGCAGCAGAACCAGGAGACCAGTGTGAGACAGTGCTGGAATTGACCTACAGAGCAAGAGAGCTGAGTGCCTTTGCACAGGAGGCTTCCTGGTGCAGTGGGGTGCCTCTAGGTACTTATCAGCAGAGCTAGGCTTGCCGACTCATGGAGCAAGAGAGCTGAGTTTACTGGCAGAGTAGGGTGCCTCCAGGCACTTATCGGTGGAGCTAAAGAGCTTTGGAGCACTTGCCCCAGCAGGGCAGATGCGGGCAGGGAGGCCCAAGGGAACCAGGAAGCAGAAGCTAAAGAGACAAGGAACACAGGAAGCAGAGCAGCCTCAGTCTCAAAAGGTAGGGCCACCACCTCTGGAATTTCTAAGGGTGGAGTCACCACTCAGATGGACTAGGAGAATGGGACCTCCCAAATTTGAGGGCAGAGTTGCTGTTCCAGTGGGCCTGAAAGGCAGAGCGGAAGCCCAGGACCAAGGGGCCTCCACTCAGAATCCAGAGAGTGTGGCGAATACTTAGAGCCTGGAGGGCAGGGCCATTGCCTAAATGGTCTCAGAGAACAGGATTATCATCAAGCCTGGAGGGCTAATGCAATGTGTTCTATTGACTTGCTTGGTGTCTGTTATCCCTTTTTTCCCTCCAATTTTTCCTGTTCATATTGGAAATGCCTAGCTTGTGCCTGTTCCACCATCATACTTTGGAAGCAGATAACTTGTATTCTAGATTTCACAGATGAAGAGGAATTTTTGGATTTTGGACTTGGAGTTGAGGTAAGACTTTTGCTGTGATATTATGGGGTGAGTGTGTTTTATATGTGACAAGGATATGAATTTGGGGGAGGCCAAAAGGTGGAATGTTATGGATTGAATTGTCTCCCCCCAAAATGTGTGTCAACTTGGCTAGTCCATGATTCCTAGTATTATATGATTGCCCATCATTTTGTCATCTGATGTGATTTTCCTGTGTGTTGTAGATCCTACCTTTATGATGTTAATGAGGCGGGATTAGTGGCAGTTATATTGATAAGGCAGGACTCAATCTATAAGATTAGGTTGTGTCTTAAGTCAATATCTTTTGAGATATAAAAGAGAAAATTGAGCAGAAAGACACGGGGACCTCATATCACCAAGAAACAAACACCAGGAGAATAGTACATCCTTTGGACCCGGGGTCCCTGTGCTGAGAAGCTCTTAGTCTAGGGGAAGAGTGATGACAAAGAGCTTCCTTCAGAGCCGACAGAGAGAGAAAGACTTCCCCTGGAGCTGACACTCTCAATTTTGACTTCTAGCCTTCTGGACCGTGAGAGAAAAAACTTCTGTTTGTTGAAGCCATCCACTTGTGATGCTTCTGTTACAGCAGCACTAGATAACTAAGACAATGTCCAAAGTATGTAAGACAAAGTCTAGCCATCCTCTCTTCTAAGGAGTGTTCTATTCCGGCTGTACTTCTTCCAAGACAGATTTGCTCATTCATATCTCATTTCACCCTCTCAATAACGCCGTGAGATAGCTAATATTATCACTTTTACAAAGACGAAGAAACTAAGGCTTTGATCGCAGCTTCCTCAATGATACACAGCTAGTCATTGGAGGGGCTCAGAATGGAAGTCGGGTTTCTGATTCATAGGCACTATGTATTCTATATGTTATTCTACAAAAAAAAAAAAAAAAAAGACTTCATTTGCAAGTTCTCAAATCTTTCCTGTACCAGAAATTAGAATTGTAGAAATAAAATTAAAGTTCTATATGTTATTCTACAAAAAAAAAAAAAAAAAAAGACTTCATTTGCAAGTTCTCAAATCTTTCCTGTACCAGAAATTAGAATTGTAGAAATAAAATTAAAGTTTTTTTTTTTTTTTTAAAGCATCAAGAGAGAACATGACCTAAGTTTAGGAAAGGGAAGTCTAAATTTGCTGCCAAATGATGGTTTCAGCACCAAAGTCTGCTCACAGCATTGAATGCATCCTGTTGCTTAGAATAGGCCTCCAGTTCTATTTTTAGGGGACTGCCCCTCCATGTCAAATCACAGAAAACGCATTCCTGCGTCTCAGTATTTTTTTATGTTTTTGAGTATTTTAGAACCATCGGGAAATCTTTAAAGACAAAAAAAATGGCAGACATTAAAAGAAAAGTTTCCATTATATTCTGCAGAGTAAAAAAGTTTAGATGAAAACAACTGAACTGAAAATAAAATTGGCTAGTGGGTAACCTGAGAATATATGCAATATCATTTACTACTCTTTTTCTACTGAGCAACAACGTGGTATTTCAAAACGGTATAACATAATAAATTTTTCTGTCACAGAAAATAACTCCAGCTACTATCAGTGAAGTAATTGAGTGTTTCTGTAATGGCTCCCATAAGGACTGATAGACCATACCAATGAACTTGACTGTTTCAAAGGCAGTGTCTTCTAAGTTCTTGACTGTGCTGTAATCACACAAGATGAAGGCTTCTTGTGCCAATAAGAAACTCACCTCTTAAAGAATGGACATTCATCTTTGGGTGCAAGGTAACTATTATAGATTGAATTGTGTTCCCCAAAGATATGTGTCATCTTGGCTGGGCTGTTATTCTCAGTACTGTGTAATTGTCTACCATTTTCATGATGTGATCTTCCTATGTGTTGTAAATCCTACCTCTATGATGTTAATGAGGCAGGATTAGAGGCAGTTATGTTAATGAGGTGGGACTCAATCTATAAGATTAGATTGTGTCTTAAGCCAATTTCTTTTGAGATATAAAAGAGAAGCAAGCAGAGAGACAAGGAACCTCATACCACCAAGAAACAAGAGCCAGAAGAACACCCAGGGTCCCTGCACTGAGAAGCTCCTAGTCCAGGGGAAGACTGATGACAAGGACCTTCCTCCAGAGCTGACAGAGAGAGAAAGCCTTCCCCTGGAGCCGATGCCCTGAATTTGGACTTCTATCCTCCTAGACTGTGAGAGAACAAACTTGTGTTTGTTGGAGCCATCCACTTGTAGTATTTCTGTTATAGCAGCACTAGATGACTAAGACAGTAACCTAATAAGATATGATAGGTATAAGTGGAGGAAGAGATTGACATAGCCAAAATTCAGTGTCATTGCTTGGGAACTCAGGGCCTACTCCGGAAAATCACCACAGGCAGAAATGGGATCAGAGTTGCTGACAGGGAGAAAGCAATGATGGCCTGAAATGCCATATTGCATAGGTTCTAAGCCATACATTTTTGTACATATTAACATCTCTGAACTCAGGATACATGTTACAATCGATGGCATCATATAATAGATGGCTTGCCACCGTTTATTTATGAAGGAACTTTTCTTCCTTAGTGGTACACAACGTAATGGTGTACTTTCCACCTGATGGTGTCTTAGATGTTATGAAATATGAATGTCATTGTTGGGTGCTGTAGAATAGATTCTGACTCAAAGTGGTGCAGGGCGACAGAGTAAAACTGTCTCATAGGGCTTTCTAGGCTGTAATCTTTATGGAAGCAGATTGCCAGGTCTTTTTCCCATGGAGCTGCTGGTGGGTTTAAACTATCAGCTTTTCAGTTAGCGGCTGAGCGCTTAACCGCTGCACCACCAGGGCTCCTTGAAACATTAACAACCAAAAAACCCGTTGCCATCAAGTCCATTCTGACTCACAGCGACCCTATAGGACAAAACAGAACTGTCCCCTATGGTTTCCAAGGTGCTGCTGGTAGATATGAACTGTTGACCTTTTGGTTAGCAGCCAAGCTCTTAACCACTGCGTCACCAGGGCTCCTGAAACATTAATACGTATGTGCAAATGACTGAAGCATGGAGAACATTATGGAGAAGCAGGTGGCCTTCATTCACACACAGAGTTATCAGTTAATTGCAATTATAGCATGATGGGCTAGCACACAAGGCTTTAATGAAAGGTTAAAGGAATATAAATAGTGTAGGGAGGAGAAGGAAGGTAATAAAAAGATGATGGGTCTGCCTTGTTCACCATTAAATTGAGTAATGCTCTAGGCCTTGCCCAGAGTATGAAATTGCTGCATCACTTCATCTCCCAGAATCAAAGAAGCAGTTTATATTTTTTAAAAAGCACATTTCTGTGTATTAGCATTAGAGCCTGAAATCTAAGTAAATCAGGTTCGTTGTAGGAGATATTGGATTGTTTTGAACAGAGCATTTGTATCTATTGATTGTGATTTGTAACAATTAATTAATACTCAGTTGTAACATCTAAACAAAACGCTTCTGTTCTACAACATGATTATAGAATTGATTTTCTACAAAACATTTTAAAGTCACGTGGTGTTGCACAGCTAGGAAGATGTAAGGGGAGTAGGCTGAGAATTTGAGCTAGAATTAATTTCAGCCTTTCTTATTTGAACAGTGATAGCAGGACACAAAGCCATGACACCAGAGACATGGGCCTCAATATTGTCTGAGCCTGTGCGTCTGGCACTGAGAGAGAAGTTGGGCGACATGACCTTTGAGGGCCTTTCCAAATGTAAGCATCCATCGCTTCTCACATATCATTGAGCAATAAGGCCATACAGCCTAACAACTATCACAGAAGGCCGAAGAGGGTAGATGCCACAAGGGAGGAATAATATGATGGATGTTCAAAGGTCTGAGATGTCATGCCCCGTTGGAATAGGGGTGGGGAATGGCTTCATGCAAGAGGAGGCATCTGAGATGGGCTCTGAAGGTGGGATTTCATAATGTGGTGATAGAGATGGGATAGGTGGGGCATACTCCATACAGAAGTAAAAACGTGCTAAGGCAAAGAGGTAGTAGCGGAAATGCAATATTTAGGATGGTGGTTCTTAGTCCTGGCTGCATATGAGAATCACCTGGAAAGCTTTAAGCAAACAATGCCTGGGCCCAGGACTGATCCCATCCAGCCTGCCTCTGCACAGCCATACTGTTTGTTTAGTGTCTGCATCTGTTCTGACTGGCCCATGTTCGTACAACCCGTCCACACCTCAGGTCAATTGAGTCAGAATCTCTGAGGGTAGCTGTTGTTGATTTTTAATTGTCAAGTGATTCTGATGTGCAATCAGAGTTGGAGACATCTGAATTTTGGTGCAGCAAGTATGAGCGTTTTGCTGAAGTTCAGGGTCTGAGTTAGGAAGGTCAGAGTGAAAAATGGAGAAGCAGATGAGGATCATTTTCCAGACAGTATTTGTATCAGTCAGAGTCCTGGATGGAAGAAGAATCCATCTCAGCCAGATTAAGAGCCTTTGATGAAGAGACCATTCACAGAGGCTATGGGCAGTGTTAAAGGGCTCAACAAGAGACATTAAGACACCCAGATACTATCAATGAAGGGAGACTGCCATCACCCCTAGACCTGAAGGACAAGGGAAAGAAAGAGGTTACAGGAACCCAGTGAAAGCCAGACTCCTGGAGGAGAGACCAGCCAATGGGGGCTGTAGTCTTGGAGGGACACAGACGCTGTCAGAAACATGGCCCTAAGCAGGGAGAGAGTAGGAAAGAAAATCGTGAGCTCTCCTTCCATCTTTCCATCTCTTGCTGCTTCTTCCCATTGGCCAAACCCAACCAGAAGCCTGAGGATGAGGGGAGCCCTGGTGATGCTGTTCATGGGGCTCCACTTCCCAGAGATGATCACAGAATGGTTGGAAAAGGGGGTTGGCAAATGGAATATAATCAGCACGGTGTTAACCTGTGCTTATTTACTAATCTCTAGTACACAATTTCACCATATCAAAGTACCTTGCTTATTGGGTAATCCATCCCTGGGTGTAAGGTATGGATTCTGTTTCATTTTTCTGCAAATGGATATCCAGTTTTGCCAGCAGCATTTGTTAAAGAAGTTATCTCTAGGCTGTAATTTTTACAGGAGCAGATCTCCAGGTCTTTCTCCCATGGAGCTGCTGGATGGGTTTGAGTCACCAAGTTCACCAAAATAAAATTTAAAAATGTAATGTAAGTGGGACGAAGTATTGATTTGTAGGTGGTTAAGCCTGGAAGGAAGCAGGAGACTTGCCACATGCACGCTGGCCTTGGCTCTTCCCTGCTGGATGAGCGTCTCTCCCTGGGGCTGATAACGGTAGCCGAGAGCAGTAGGTGCGCTGCCAGCAGCTGCCCTGACCTTGGCCTGCTTGTACAGTTTCAGCTTGCTGCAACTATTCTGTCCTGAAGAATAAAGCACTGCCTATTAATTATTTGTAGAATTTCTAAGGGACTAAACCAGGGTTTATGGAATGGATTCATCCAGTGTCAACATTAAAGAACTAGGAAAACGTTGGCTGACACACAGGAACATGCAGATCTGAATTCCTGCGTGGGACTCAGGAATGGATAGTGTCTTGGTGGATGTGTGGGAGGGAGCCGGGGTCGATTTTCAGCTGCAGTCACCCTGGGAAAATACAATGGTGGGAAGAAGAAACTGGGTGGAGAATCCTGGTTCAGCAATGTGTCTGTCTAGTTTTGCCTGAGAAAGGGGACTTCTTTAGGCTAGCTAGGGAGCACTTCTGAATTGAAGAATCAAGTGCTCTGGGTTTGGGATCCAATCAAGGCATCTCCTTCTGCCTATATGGGTCAGCAGTGAGGCTGTCTGTCTGTGCGTGAAGAGTTAACATGTGGAAGAGGAAGCAGACCTCTCCCTTGCTGTTTTGGAGTAAGAACTAAGATCAAAGGGAAATATTCTAGGAATTCTTGTTTTAGTTCCATCTGTGGAAGTTGTCCAACAAAGGAATGGGATACTGTATTAGCTTCCTAGTGCTGCCATAACAAAATAGTACCAACTGGGTGGCTTATCAGGACAAATTTCATTGTCTCACAGTTCTGGAGGCTAGAAGTCCAAACCCATATGTTGGCCAGATCATGCTCCCTCTCAGGTCTCCAGAGGAAGATGTTTTCTTGTCTCCCAGCTTCTGGCAACCCCAGACATGTCTTGACCTGTAGATGATCTTCACATGACTGTCATTCCTCTGTCTTTCTCTCTGTGTCTCTTCTCTTTTATAACGACATCACTCAGATTAGATAAGGACCTACTCTACTCCAGTAGAACCTCGTGTTAACCGATAACATCTTCAGTGACCCTATTTCCAAACAAGGTCATCTTTACAGGTAGCAGGGGTTAGGACTTCAACATATCTTTTGGGAGGACATGATTCAATTCACAACAGTTACCCTGTGAAATAGTGAGCTCCCCATCCTTACAAGTACCCAAGCAGATGCTTGGTGGCTACCTATACAATCAATATTTTGGAAGATGTTCCTGCAAAGTGACCAGAGGAAAGATTGGATTAGGTGACCCTCAATATCTCTTTCCAAGATTCTACAATTGATTTGAAAATAAAAATATAATTTATACACTGGAATGCAGACTAACACTAAAGATAACATGTCTGGGCGTAAAGTGAAACAACAGGGGCCCCAAGCTGCAGTTGCATATTGCTTTGTTTCTTAAATAATTGAAATAGGAAGATACTGCAGAGGAGAAAAGAGGAATTACATTCAGGATGCATTGATTCATTAATGAATATTTGTCGAGGGCTTTCTACGTGCCAAGAACATCAAATCAAAGCTATAAACAATCAGCTGGCCTGTTTTCAGAATGCAAGGCTACTGCAGGGAAACAGCTGGGGCTTACCCAGCAGCTGGACAGGCAAGGGGGTGCCCAGGCAGATGACCGCTGGGTGTCTGGGTATAGGAACATAGGAGCAAATGGCTCTTATGTGGAAGAGAGATATGACTTTTCTCTGCACGTGTATAACTAAGAACAATGGGTGGAAGTTTCTGAGAAGCAGCTTTTAACTCAGCGTTAGGGGACCTTTCAAGCCCTCTGGCTCCATGGAGCTGAAATAGGCTTCTTTCAGGGATGAAGAGGTTTTTAAGCATTGGCCTTACAGTTACTTGTGGGCATGCCCTAGCAAGGTGCAAGGCATCGCAAGAGAGATGAACTATTAGATCTTAAGGAGCTTTCCAACCTTGAAACGTCACAATGTTTTAGGAAAATTAGTTTCACATTGGTAAGACTGAAGTGGGAAGTCCTGCTATGAAGCCACTGAAATAATTCAGTATTGAGATGTTGTAGGTCATCATGAGAATGTATCAGGGGCGTGGGAAGAAGGAGCTAGACCTAGTGAAGACAATCATTTCTGTTTGCTCCTCCAGATCCATCTCTACCATCACTCTGCTTGCTTCCATTAAGCTGATCTGTATGGATCACATCAATGGGCTCCCTTGCCCTCTGACATTGGATTGAGTTTGGCCAATAGGGAGCCCCAGCAGGAGAGTAGAGGGAGGGAAGAGAGAGGGCTCAGTGTATTTGTTCCTTATTTCCTCCTTGTGAGGTCACCTCAACAGAAGGCCACTGATCCTCTCAAGGTGGCTTGCTCTATAGGACTCTCTCCTTCCGGGTTCTGATAACCTCTCCCTTCCCTCATCCCTTCAGGCCTAGGGGTGGTGACGGCTCCACTGCTGTTAGCCTGAATTCCTGCACTATCCCTTATGGTTCTCCTACTCTGTGCCACACCTTTGTAAATTGTCACTTTGTAAGTAAAACCCCCTTGAATTATCCTAATTTGAGTGTGCCATATTTCCTCTTGGGACCCTGACCTGCCCACACACAAAAAACCATAGTGGAATTTGATCAATGATAAATTTTCTGGAAAGCAGTGGATTTCAAAATGCACTTTAAGGATGGGAGAAAGGTTTTCGTGTGTGGCAACTCCTAGCCAATCAGGGTAGTTTCACTTACCTATTGGGTTCTTACCTAGAATTCCATCTGTATAAAGGATTTCACAGCTAACGCTCAGTTTGAAAACCTATGGTGAAAAGAATACTATTCCCTAATCTGAAGTATGTATCAAGAATTTATATTCTCATGCAATCCTTACCCCAGACATAAAGTAACTCAGGACCAAATCAGTTTCTTGGGCTATAAGTTCACAGCACAAAGTGAAATGGAATCTTGGCATTTTTTCCATTTAATTTGATAAATGTACACTACTAGCAAGGTAGACATCTAAAAAAAAAAATCCACTTGGCAGTCTAAATTATTCAGGTAATCTGTCTACATTAATCAAATCAGCAGGATAACTGCCAAATCTCCACTTCTTTTTGTATGAGTTAGGTCCAAGAATGGATGACAAAGTCAGGTAGGGAAGGACAGGAGAAGTAGACTATCCACGTCTCCACAGAGATGTTGCAAGATAAAGCATACTTAGGTATGTCTAACTAGCCCGTAAGAGTCTGCCAGGAAATTCTTGTTTTTAATATGGCTGTAAAATCTAAACATCAAGACAAGCTTGTGGATCCTCAAGGACAGATACTTCGGTGACAACCCTTTCTAGAAGTTTATGAATTTCCATGTTATGAGGATGAAGATATGTCTTCCTTCCAAAAGTGGGTCAGCTGGATTCATTTACAAAGGGCATAATAATCAAAACTGGATACAAAAGGCTTAACTCCAAATTTATTTAAGAAGCATTCAATGGCTAACTCATGAAGAGGCGGAAAAATGTGCTCTGTCAAGCAGATGTTAGCCACCACCTGTCACGTGGGTGCTGGACTCAGTGACGGGGTAAGAACAGGAGTGAAAACTAATTGGAGAAGTTGATGTTGAGAGTATGAGTGAAAGGAAAATACTCTGAGGAACAGTCACTCTGGGGCAACTTCAGGAGTCTTCAGAGTGTTTCTGATGTCTAAAACTGGTCTCCTGTTAAGGGTGATGAAAAAATTGCGGAATGGGGAATGGTGCTGGTTGAACAACATGAACGTAATTAATGTCACTGAGCTGTAGGTGTGAAGACCGTAGAAAGAGCAAATGTTTTGTTATCTATATATTTACCATAATTAAAAAAAAAAAAATCTCTGCTTTATAAGGCACAAGACTGGTAAAATGTGGTTACCCCAGAAAGGAGAACACTGCAGGAGCAGCTGCAGAGACCATTGCTCCTTTTGAGTTTCTGGGGCAGTTTCAGGGATGGTGAGCCCAGAATGGCTTTTTAGAGAGATGGCCTTCTCTCTCTTTTTTTTTTTCTTTTTAATTTTATTTATTTTGTTGTTGTTGTTGAGAATATACACAGCAAAACATACACCAATTCAACAGTTTTTACATGTATCATTCAGTGACATTTATTACATTCTTTGTGTTGTACAACCATTCTCATCCTCCTTTTCTGAGTTGTTCCTTCCCCATTAACATAAACTCACTACCCCCTAAGGTTTCTGTGTAATCTTTCAAGTTGCTGTTGTTAATTTGATCCCATATAGAGAGTTCTTAAAAGAGCCTAATGCTCAAGGCGCGTATATTTTTTACTAGTTAAGCTAAACTATTATTTGCTTTTAAGAAGACTCAGGGTATATTTTTGGTTGAAGTGTAAAGATTATCTCAGGGAAGTAGTTTCATGGGTTCATCTAGCCTCCATGGCCCCAGAAAGTCTGGAGCCCGTAAGAATTTTAAATTCTTTTCTGCATTTTTCCCCTTTTGATAGGGATTCTTTTGTAGAATCTTTCATCAAAATGTTCAGTAATGGTAGCTGGGCACCACCCAGTTCTCTGGTCTCATGGCAAAGGAGGCAGTTATTCATAGAGAGATGGCCTTCTCTTGTTGAAGGCCTGCTCGTTCTATGTCTCTTTATTATTTTTTCCCTAAAATATGGTGGCTTGAAAGAGTGTTGGTCTGGGCATAAGAAGACGTGGATGTACAGGATATATAAGCAGGAAAGACAGTGGCCATGTTAAGGAAGTTTTGATCTGGAGAGGGCTTAAGGTTCGTATGCACATTTGAGCATGGAAGCAGGGTGGGGCCTCTTCACAAATACTGATTTTCTTTCAGATTCATGCACTCCTGGACCTGAGAGTAGAAAGATGAGTTCACAGGTGAGGGGCCTTGGAACAGAGAAATAACTAGACCTCATAGAGCTTCTGGAGAACTGACTCTCTGAGCTTCAGCTCCTGCGTCTGGAAAGGAGAGCTTGGACAAGATGACATCATCATTTCTTCCAGCCCTAGCATACTATAATTTTATATTCTACTCATCCATGAGTAATTATTCTCTCTGAATTAATTGCCCAGAAAAAATTAATAGAGTTCTTAACATACTAAATACTCTTTTCTTTAATATCTTTCAGTAAAAAATAGAAAATTGAGACATACACGACTGACTTTCATATACATCTATGCGTAATTTGAAAACTTTGTTCTAATCAAGCTTAACATGTCACTCTGAGTTGATGTTCATATATTAAATGGTTTTTAGCCCAGATAAGATAGAAGGTTCACGTTTTAAACTTTAACCATTTCACTGATGACTGGAAAGTGCCTGCTCTGTGTTGGGCTAATTCGATCTAAAAATTTGAAGGTCATATTTCACTCAGAAGTCTCAGGTTAAAAAAAAAAATCAGGTGGGATAGTCAAAAAGACTATTTTACCTCCTTTCCCATGGGAATCTTTCCAAGATTAGTCTGACTAAGCTGATGTATTGACAAACTTGCAATTCCTCTGTTTTCCATGATCCAATGCCCAAAGTCAAGGGGGGAATTTTAACATGAGAAAGGGGCACACAACTATCCATATTAGAATTTCAGTCCCTAAATTAAAGGCTGGATCAGGAGATTCAGAAATTTCTCCTGAATTAGCAGTTTCTCAAGGAGTGAAATGTCTACAGCTCCTAAAATTGAAAATAAGAATGAGAATTGCCCCCTACACAGGAACTTGAGGCCTACTCTGCAGCATCTGGTTAAAAAAGAAAAAATCCTTGAAATGTAGTTCTCTCTTGCTTCTGTCCCTCCTCTTGACCATATGAAGACAAATGTTCCTCAAGAGCGACATTTTGTCCTTTTTAGTGCAAGTAAGCTGAGTAGAGCAATTTAAGGGATATCAGAAACCTGCAAAACCAAGACCACTGGTTTGCTTTTCGAGGTATCCCCGAACTCCAATAGAGCATTGTTGTTTCATTATTTTCAATGAACAGTTAGGACCAGGTATACATCAAGACACAGAGTACCCAGGTGGCACAAACGGTTAAGCACTCGACTACTAGCTGAAAGGTTGGTGGTTCAAACACACCCAGATACTTCTCAGAAGACAGGCCTGGGGATGTGCTTCCATAAGGTCACAGCCTTGAAAACCCTATGGAGCAGTTCTACTCTGCACACATGGGGTAGCCATGAGCTGGAATTCTCTCTAGGGAAATTAATAGCAACAATAAATTATATAAAAGATGTCTTTCTTGTATTGGTTTTTTTTAATTGTACTTTAGATGAAGGTTTACAGATCAAACAGTATCTCATTAAACAGTCACTACACATATTGTTTTATGACATTGGTTAACAACCCCATGACATTCAACACTCTCCCTTCTCGACTTGGGAGGAACGTTTTTTTGTTTTTTGTTTTTTGGTGAAAATATCCATAGCCAAAGGTACACCATTTCAAAAATTTCTACATGTACAATTCAGTGACCTCGATTACATTCTTCCAGTTGTGCTGCTATTTTCACTATCCTTTTCCAAATTATTCCATCACCATTATCTTCAATTAACTCACTGTCCCCTAGGCTTCCCATCAAACCTTTTGAGTTGCTGTTGTCAATTTGATCTCACATACATAATTTTTTTTTTTTTGTACTTTAGATGAAGGTTTACAGAACACATAGTTTCTCATTAAACAGCACACATATTGCCCGACGACTATTATATTGTTTTTAAAGTATAGTTTATTGTAACATAATAATTGCAGGGAATTCCTTTTTCATTTTTCTTGGGTTTTTTTGGTTTGTTTTTTCAGTTTTTGTTTTTTTTTTCCACGTGGAGCAAGGCCTTCAGCATTTTTAGTGGTATGACTCGTATGAAAATAAGTAATGGTTGAAATGCGCTGTATCCAGAATTTGGAAGAACAAGAACGGTGCACTCCAGAAAGTCGGTCTTTGTTTTAAAATTTACCCCATAAATATAGTTTCACCTATCCATTGCTCACATTGAGGTTGTGCTTTGTTTTGTTTTGTTAAACAAGTAAAGAAGGATCATAGGGAAATTCTAAGATATCAAGCCTCTAGGGACTGGTTCTGGCTTATCACACATGCTTGGTTTTCATGGGGAAGCTCAGTGTTCAAGGCTGCACGGCCAACCCTGCGATGATCAGGCACCAGCAGAGTCTGTACCTTGGGGCAGCAGGTACTTGTGGTTTTCTCCCCAAAGGGAAAAAGTGATGTAGAAGGTTATCTTTATGGGCTCTTGTGTAAGCAGTCAGTAGTGTAAATGGTGGACAGAATGTGGCTGCACCCTGCTATTTATCCGGACCAAAGGCAAATGTTTCCTCACACACAGAGGGGTGGTGCATGCATTTCATGCTCTGACCACTACCTCTTGTCTTTCTAAGTTTCTCCCTCTAATGTCTCATTTCCAGAAACCCTTTGACGCCACCAGGATCTGCCAACCACTGGTTCTAACACTCTCTCACTGTCCCTTATCCCATGGATGTCCTTACCTTCAATTTTAGGCTTTTGCACTGGCTGTTCCCTCTGCCTTGAAAGTTCTTCCCTCAAATATCCATGTTGATAATCTCACTCAAGTCTTTGTTCAAATGTCACCTTGAAATCTATTCTGACCTTTCTGTGAAAAAAAATAATTACAACCTACCCCTGTCCCCTCACTCCAAATCTCCCTCTCTGACCTAATTTTTTAAAAAAGTTTTCATAACACCCGTCACCTTCAAACATAATACCTCAAATTTATTTATTTTATTGTACCTTAGATGAAGGTTTACAGAACAAATAGTTTCTCATCAAACAGTCAGTACACAGATTGTTTTATGACAATAGTTAACAACCCCACCACATGTCAACACTGTCCCTTCTCAAACTTGGGTTCCCTATTACCAGCTTTCCTGTCCCCTCCTGCCTTCTAGTCCTTGTCCCTGGACAGTTGTGTCCCATTAGTCTCATTTTGTTTTATGGGGCTGTCTAATCTTTGGCTGAAGGGTGAACCTCAGAAGTGACTCTATATATCAAATCTGATCTGGAACACTGGTGTGAATTTATTCACTTCTTAGTAGTAAATTATTACTTCCCTGTTTCAGAATGCCAATCACATCACTTTAAATCTGTTTTGCTTCTGGCAAAATTGAATCCAGTGTCTGACTCAAAGTTTACTCATTTCATCCCTCTCTTTTTATTAAAGCAATAAATGTCTCAGCATGTAAATCTCTATCACGTATTATACATGTGTACAGTCGCCACGAAAGAGTTGCTTACTTGGTATCTATCCTTTATGTTAGATCGTTTTGGGGGATATGAAACAAAATATGCAATAGCTGATTTTATATCTATTTAATTCTCTTGAATAAGCCAACTTATTCAATCAACGCCCATGGAAGCAGCAGTCAAGAAATCAAACAATGTATAGCATTGGGCAAATCTGCTGCAAAAGACCTCTTTAAAGTGTTACAAAGCAAAGATGTCACTTTGAGGACTGAGGTGCCCCTGACCCAAGCCATGGTGTTTTCAGTCACCTCATATGCGTGCAAAAGCTGGACTATGAATAAAGGAGACCGAAGAAGGATTGAAAGCTTTAAATTATGGTGTCGACGAAGAATGCCAGAAGAATGAACAGGTCTATCTTGAAAGAAGTTCAGCCAGAATGCCCTTTAGAATAGAAGATCGTGAGACTTTGTCTTAATGTACTTTGGATATGTTATCAGGAGGGATCAGTCCCTGGAGAAGGACGTCATACCTGGTAAAGTAGAGGATCGGGGAAAGAGAGGAAGATCCTCAACAAGATGGATTGACACAGTGACTGCAAAGACGGGTTCAAGCATTGCAATAATTGTGAGGATGGTACAGGATCAGACAGTGGTACGTTCTGTTCCAACTTGACGGCACCTAACAACACCACCCTGGTAGATCTGGTGCCATTATGTTATTCTTGCACTGAAAGGGAGGAAAGCTATCCCCAGGGAAAATCCACTCTTGTTTTTCTCTTAGGCACAGACTTGAGAATTGCTTCTAATAGTCACACTGCTGATTATCCTAGTGGTGTATAGGCACTGGGAGAGGTGCCTTGAGTTTGCAGCTCCAGGGCCATGTAGAAGCAATCGGGTTCACAGAATTCTTATCCTCATCCCATAGGAAACGTTTGGCCTCATCTAAACATGCATGTGACTTCATGTTGTGTCTGAGAAATATGTGTGAGAATGGATCTGAATTTGTTCTCAGGATGCATGGTGAAAAAGACAAGTGCAGAAAACATAAAGGCTTATAGAAAAACACACGTGATTCTCATTTCCTGCACAGAAATGTGTTGATTTTAACATATTTTAAAATTCTTAAAAATGCAAATAAAGATAACTGACTCTTTTCATTTTTCTACAGCAGAGGCATATTGAAGTGAAAGTCACCGCTTTGAAATGTTATAAAATTAGTCTTGAATGAGTAGTGCTTAATACTTGTTAAGTAGTGAAGAGCAATAGTAACATTTCCTCAACAATGACAGATTTAAAAAATAAATATATTCGGCAGGTATAGAAGTATGTGGTATTGACTTACAAAGGCTATAGAACTAATTCATTCATCTAATATAGAACTAATTCATTCATGCATCCATTCATTCATTGCCTATTAAGCATTGGGCACCACACAAAGCAAAGAGGATGGAGTGGTGAATAAAGCAGATGCTGTGTTTGTCCTCTTGGAGCAAATGGAGGAAATACATTGAACAAATTGCCATAAATAAACACAAAATTACATATCGTGATACAGAAAGAGAGGGTGTTTCAAGGGGATGTGGCTACTTAGTGTCAGAGTTAGAAATTAGAGCTGAGAACATAGGAGGAGGCAGAATTCTCTGATTCCCCTACACACATGCAAACACACGCACAGCATACATGCTAAGGAGGAGATGCGGGGCTGTCAATGACTTTCAGGGGCCAGTGGGCTTCTCATGGAGACTTTTCCCTTGTTTCTCTGTGGAGGTGGGCTTCTAGAGAATCTCATGTAAACATTGATGGGTGCCTGCCAAAGGGGACCCTGATACCTTGTTCTCCATCTGGGGTGTTTACAGAACTTCAGAGCTGATGCCACCAGGAGCTGCTGCTGGAGTCCAGCTTGGTGAGGGCCTCTTAGGAGGACTTGATGTGTCTTCTCCGCACTGTGTGATACGCTTGGGAAGATGATGTGGGCAACCACAGCATACAATTCAAGGCAGCACCTATTGAGTAGAATTCCACAGGCAATTTCCCATGGGCTTGGAGGAAGTGGAGGAGGACCCAGAAGTTTCCACGTCTCTGTATGAAGGAGTATGGAGGTTAGGAATGGGTGGGAGTGCTGGGGCTGCCAGGTGGCAGCTGAGCCAAGAGAGGGGGTATCCCACCCAGAGAAGTACTTGAGCAGGTACTCCTGGCACAGCTGAAGGCAGGTATGGCTTCCCTGTTGGTGGGGTCCCACTGGCAGAGGATGGGATAAATCTGAAAACCAATCCCAAAGGAAATCTCATACACCAGTGGTCTGCAACTTATTTTTGCTCATATACTCAACTGTCTCCAGATTTTCCCTTATGTTAATAGTTACAAAGGATTCAATTTCCAGCATTTGAAAATACTGACTTTTAAAGAGAAACTGGTATATCAGTCTCTTAAATGTATCCAGTGGAATCTAAATGCATTGCTATTTGATGCCTGCTTTCATCCATTAAAAACCACATGGACACGCTCTCAATTAACATTCAAAAATTTAATGTCTTTCCCTTTTATCCTCAACTTTCCATTCCACTTTCCTTATAGAATTTATCCTAACGTAATATATTTGATGTTTGAAAGTCTGTTATTGATACCTCTATCATACTTTTCTGCAAAAAATATGTAAATAGAAAATCGTTTAATTTCATCTAAATAGCAAAAAGTTCCTTCTGGATTGTGCTATTGTTACAATGATTGGTAGTACAGAAATGTTTGAAATGACATAAATATTTATAAGTTTTGGTATGCATTTTTGATTAAACATAAACAGTGATATTTTATTAGAAATGCATCATCCACAAAGAGGAGGCTCCACAATGTGCAGGTTAGCTTAAGGACAGTGTAGACAGAAGACCAGAATGGAAACTTATCTAGCTGGGAAGGGGGAGGCAGGACAGCCCCTCAAAGGCAGTGAAGGTAAACTGAGGCTTAACGGACAGGGGTGAAGTGCGAGGAAAAGACACTGTGGCCGCATGCGATGACCCAGGGGAGA